CGAACTGAAAAGGTCAACAAACCTCAGGCTTAATGGGCCAATATTCTTGGATCAACACCTCCTAATTTGGGGCTACCCCCCCCCCCCCCCCCTGGTTTGCCTTCACTATTTTTTTTTTTTTTTTTTTTTATTCTTGTTTTAATTGTTATTCTTATTTTAATTATTGTTTATTTAACTAATTATTTTTTTAACAAAATACAAAAACTTAATTAAAAAAATCAGAAAAGACCAAAAGGAATAAATATTTTTATTATAATTATTTTCTTGTAAATAAATTAATGTATAATGAATTTAGTTTTAATTAGGGATGTTTGCAATTTTAATTCTCTTCATATTAAATAAAAAATAATTAGAATTAGGTTAATTAATAATTTCCACTCCTTTTAATTTTTCCTTTTTTTTTCCATAATATTATTATTTATTTATTTATTTTATTTTTTATAATTAAATGTATATAAATAACTTAGATTTAAATTAGGTTAAAAATTCAATCTTTTTCTTAATAACTTAAAAAACATTAGAATTAGGGTTTACATCCAATTTTTTTTTTTTTGTTTTAATTAATTCTTTTTCTTTTAAATCTTAAAAAACACAAAAATACCAAAACATTTAATTTTAATTTTAATTCTTCATTAATTTTAATTTATTGCAAAAGGGTCCAACGCCCATGTTCATAATTTATTTAATTTGCGCATTTATTTTATGTCATTTATTATAATTATGTACATGTCCCAAAGCCTTGTAACTTTATTTCTCGCACTTTTATTTTATTGCTGCTTTACTTTCAGTCAAATCGGGTCCGGTTTATTTTGGCGATGTGGACCCGCGCCATTTGTAATAGCCTTAGATTTATTTTTTCCGCAAATATTTAAACTGTTAAGAAGCATGCAAGAATGAATGTCTTAATTAAAATCAAGCGTAGATCACAAATAAACATGACAAGACAAATAACTGAAACATGACACACAATTCGCACACACCACCCCTAGGGTACGCCTCACTGTTGCCTTTCGAAAGGTGATCGTCGAGTAGAGGATGTTTTAGTAAGTCCTCATGATCCGGGAACCTGGCATGAGGGTAGCTTCTAAGGTGTCTTCCTATTGCTCTGGTGATCACCATGTCCCTACAAACTCGAATTGACCCGAACACCTCCAACGGTGGTGCTACCTACCTCTCAATGGTGGGATGGCACTACTTTAAAAGACATTTACACAGACGAATTCCTCAGGGTAGGTAGACGACTCATGGATACTTGCTCTCTTCAAAACAAAAATTCAAAGACTTTTCACACCAACACTTTTCAAAAGCTTTCAAAGCAAATTTTTCAAACACTCTGACGTATGAGTCGAACTGAAATTTTTCAAAGAAACTTTGTTAACCCACAATTGAAAAGCAAGCAAACATTTTTGAAAACACATTGAGCAAGTACCTAAGAGCCCATGGATAACCATGGATAGAAAGGGTGCTAACACCTTCCCTTTCTATAACCTACCTCCCGAACCGAGAGCGATCTCTTTAAAGGAATTTTTCTGTGCTTTTGTCCTTTCCATTTGGAGAAAATAAAAGACGGTGGCGACTCTTGCTTCCGCGACATTTCGCGAACCAGCGTTAAACAGTCAGTTCCAGATTCACCGATCACAGGAAGCTTGATGTATCTCTTGGAAACAAGACATGACATGGAATTCTTTGTGTGCCTAGTGGCCAGATACATGGAAAGACCAGCATAAATGCAAGTTGCTGCAGTCAAGAGAATCATGAGGCATCTACAAGGCACCCTAGATTTTGGAATTTGATTCAAACATGAAGAAAAGAAAAACTTGCAACTGTTGGGATGGACAAACTCAAGTTATGTTAGAGATATGGATGATAGAAAAAGTACATTGGGTATATGTTCAAGATAGGCTCAAGACCAGTCTCATGGTCATTAAAGAAGCATCCAATTGTCCCTTTATCAACAACTGAAGCAGAGTTTATAGATGTTGCCTCATGTGCCTTGTTAAGGAGTGTGGTTGAGGAAGGTTCTAGCTCACTTAAAAGTACCTCAGAAATAAGGAGGGTCGATCATATTTTGTGACAATAGTTCATCCATCAAACTGACAAAGAATCCTATAATGCATGGTAGGTGCAAGCACATAGGTGTGAGGTTTCACTTTCTAAGATACCTTGTTAAGGATGGAACCATTGAGATGAAGTAATACAGCTATCAAGACCAGCTAACTGACATATTTACTAAGCCATATTTTGTGAGTTAATACACACCTTAATTTTTTTCTTATTATTAGTGAAATTTGTTTTTGGTTTATGCTTAGTCCATTTTGGTTGTTTGTATAGTAATTTTCTTGGAGCACAATAGGTGCTCCCTTTAGTTGTTTTGATGTGTTTTATGATTGATTTTAGATTAACTCTATCGACTTGAGGCAAGACTGCAGTGGACAGTACCTGTGGTGCAAACTGAAGCAAGGGATGGACTTAGCTAAGGGAGAAAAATGGAAAATTCAGTTGGTTTTTAGGGCTAACATAGAAGGATGGTTGCATTAGAGGGGAACTTTTATTTGCATGGAATAAAAGTCCTTTGAATCAAATGGATAAGGATAGCAGGCGCTAGAAGACAAAAGAAGGTACAATAGTACATCTATCACTCTTCGCACCCTACAACACCGTCTGCACGCTAGTGTGCCAGCCTGCTACAGGATGCTTTATCCCCCACAAATTTTCCATCGTACCTGGTTCCTTGTTGGCTAAGCAGAAGAAATGAGGTGATGGTGCTGATTCATGAATGAGTTTGATATGATTTCCTCATATTGGACCCATGATCCAGGACATCACAAGAAACCCTAGCTCATACTTATAGATAGACCTTGATGGATTTTGATAGAGGAGTTCAGCATTTCTAAGAGAAAATACATAAGATAATAGTGTGAGGAAAGTGAAGAGAAAGGAGTTTCTTCTTATCATCCAATCATGTACTAATTGTTGAGTTCTGGCGCGACTGAAATCATCTCTTGTTGATTATTCATCTCAAGAAGTCTTCAAGTTCCTCTTAGTTTATATTTCTTTTTCAATATTTGTTTAAGAATGTATCCTCTAAGAATAATGTTTGTAGTTTGTAGTCAGTTCATTATGAGCTAAATCTTTTGTTGTTGAGCAATGTGAAGTTAATATTAAGTTGTTTTTGTGTTAAATAATGTGTTGTTTAGTGCTTTATTTTATTATGTGATAACTTGTTTACAAATCCACTCCTCTGAATGATCAACTTATGAGAAGATAATAGCTTGTTGTTGTGAGAGATCCAACAACAAGTAGATTTCATAATAAAAATAGTTGAAAAGAGTAGGATATAGATATTCACTTGATTAGTTCACTTAAAGATGAGGAACTACAACTATTAAGGATTTCGTAATACGAACTGACGTATGTTAGGGTTATAAGTGTGACTTAGAGATTTGTTCTCTTGCCTTTTTATGCATGCTTTAATGTTGTAGAAATACACTTTTAGATCACTTTGGCCTTGCTTGGCACGACACTACACATCATGAACACATATTTACTTCAACAATATTAATGGATCATAGTTCAACACAATTTCTCTTAATATATTTTCACTCTCACATTGCACTGTTTTAGGTCTAGTTTAAGAGAAAATTGAACTTATGACACTCAATATTATTTTTATCCTTACTCATGCTTAATCTCAAAAGATAATTTATTACAAAATCAACCTAAATAACTATTTCACTTCTTGTATATACGATACTCTTACTTTTATTTTATTTTTAAATATATATATATATATATATATATATATATATATATATATATATATATATATATATATATATATATATATATATATATATATATATATATATATATATATATATATATATATATATATATATATATATATATATATATATATATATATTCATAAAAATAACTAAGTTTTTATTTTTTATATTTTACATTAATATAAAACAAATTATCAATCAATTGCACCCCACAAAATTGCCTTTTACTATCAAGTTAGGGCCACAGTACGTGTGAGACTTAATTCTGGCTTAGCTGGTCATTCCAAATCAAACCCATCTTTATTGTTTTGCTAACTTAACCCATCACTATTTAGGTGAAAAGCATAAAGTTTTCCAAATTAAACCCATCACTACTAAGGCACTTTCCTAATATATATATAAAGGAATAATTTCTCAATAAATTTTATTTTCATATTATACAAAAAAAGTATTTTCAAAATTGAAGAAAGATACATCATGATTATTATTATTAATAGATTAATTATCCCACATATAAATTTTAAATTAAAGTAATTATCTCTCACACACACACACACACACACACATATATATATATATATATATATATATATATATATATATATATATATATATATATATATATATATATATATATATATATATATATATATATATATATATATATATATATATAAAAATAACTAAGTTTTTTATTTTTTATATTTTACATTAATATAAAACAAATTATCAATCAATTTATTGTATTAAAAATGATAAAAATATTATTTAATTGATTTAAATTAATATGATATGATTTTGATAAAAATAAATAAAATTGATAAAGAAAACGTAATTTTATTAAAACATCGCACGCGTGCCTTAAGAAAATGTTCTTTGTTTTGAAAATATAATAGAATAAAATTATAACTATTGAGATTTATATTACAAAAATAAAATTGTGTTTTCTTAATCAATTATTGGGACAATTCTAGTTGATAAAGCTACCTAATTAATTTTGTTGGAAATGAAAAGAAGAAACAAATGTTCCTTTTTTCTTCATCATGAAAGATGATTTCCATCTCTTTTCTGTGGCTAGGAACAAGGATATAATTCTTTGCTATTTTAAGAAGTTCATGAAAAAAGTCTTTTATATCAAATGAGGAAATATAATTAATATATATAGTCATCTTCCTTGTTCAAATATACTAGTACGCTTTAGTTTTTGTAACAATGGCAGTGAAAGCTTTTTTCGCAATATTACTCATATTTTTGTTTGTTTCATCACTCGCTACTCTGGAACCTCCACCACCGGGTAAATAAAATAATCCTTCTTCTTTTTTCTTCTTTTTTTCATCTTTCTAGTTTTTTCTGTTTTAGAAGCTTCAAAGAATTTCTTATATATTTTTGAAAAATGTGTTTTATTTTATTATATTAGACCCGCTCGCATCTGCACCACATCAAGATAGGTTTCTGGTGACAAATAATCCAAACCGGAACCTTAAGAAATCTCCTCCAAAGTTGGTGATTGCTTTGTCAGTAGTGGCTGGAGTTGTGCTTTTAGCTATATCTGTGGGACTACTTGTTTGTGTGTGTTTAAAGCCATCACCATTTTCATCACCTGCTGCTGCTGCTGGGACAGTGGTTGGTGTTCCAGTGCCATTGCAACAACTTGGATCAATGGAGACCGGAGTAATGCGAAACATAACTTGAATATTTATAAATGTTTTATTATTGTTATAATTATTATTATTATTTAAATTGTTTGTTTTATTATTATCATAAATAATATATTAAAATTAATCTATTCTTTAGATAATATAGAAAAATTAATTTAGTTAATAACAAAGATTTGTCTTGTGTGTAATAGTATGTCTCGGCTGTATTTTTATGACTATTTTTATGCCAGGTGTATAAGTTTTATAGTAAAATTATAATTAATTAATAACAATGTAGTGTAAGAAATTATAATGGATATATTTCAATTGTTCTCTTTTATATATTAAATTTACTAAAATAAATTATTAATTTAATTAATTTTTTAATCAAAAAAATTATTTTGTATATTTTTTATAACAAATTATAATCAATATATTATAATTAATTTTATTTTTTAATAACAATAAGTTGTTTCGAATTGGATAAGGACACCCTTTAATTATCCATTTCTTAAAATCAAAGAAAAAAATTAAAATGTGAAAAATTGTATTTATTTTTTTATTTTCATTTGTGGTATTTTTCTTTTATAGGAAATATTGTTTCATTAAGAGAAAAGTCAAGAGACATTACAAATATCAAAAGACTTATGATATAAAATAAATTTCATCCGTCATTCAGAAGTATCTAAAACATTACACATAGATTTAACACAAGTTAAAACACAATCAAACAAGAAACAACAATCAATCATCCATCTATCAAGTCTCTTAAGAATACTATTATTAGAAATATAAGAATGAGAATTTATAATTTTTTTCCAAATCTAATTAAGAATGATTTTTTTGACTTATATCTGCGCATATCGACTTTCTTTATTCTCAAGATTGTCCATTTTAATGAAAAACTCGAAATTTTATTGATAACTTTTAGAAATAGTGTTGCTCCAAAACACAAAAATTCTTTGAAATTTTTTATCAAACACTATAAATACAATCTTAAATCCCAAATGACAAAAATATAAAATATAGACAACACCAAAACATAAATATTTGTCTACCAACCTAAACGATAGAAATTTTATATCGCTATCTACTTTACTTTAGACAATAGTTTGATATGTTACTATGTATAAAAACAGATTTAATTCAGTTGATCAATTGATTACTTCAAATTAAAATTAAAATTATTTTAAATTTAGTTATATAAATTAATTATATTTATAACATAAATTAAATTATCTATTTTTGCCAATTAAATTAATTATAATTTTATAAGTGATTAACTAAATTAGCCATTACATTGAAGTGAAAGGGGAAAGAAAGTGAAAGGAAAGAAAGTAAAAGAAAAGAAAGTATAAAAAGAAAAAGAGAGTAAAAAGTAAAAAAAAATAATTTAGTTCTTTGGTATAAGAAAAAATGAAGAAAAAAAGTTAAAAATAAAAGAATGAAAAAAAATTGTATTTGCACAATGACCAAAATAATTCAAACAATCTTCATTGATTTTATTTAATTTATTATTAATCTTAAGTTTTTATATTTATGCTAAATACTAAAGTTCTAACAATTTTTTTATTCCTAAGTTTTAAAATGTTTATCAATAGTTTTTAAATTAAATATTAATTACTAAAATATTTATAAATATTGTTGTTTTTATTTTTAAAAACTAAATAATAGAACGATTTTTTGATTAAAAATATATTTTAGTTTTCTAAAAGACATTGTCATATTCTCACGTTTGTAGTATTCTTTTTTCTTTTCTTTTTTTGCTTTTTCAATTTTAGTATAGTCTCTTTCGGGGACTCAGTTCGATATTTAGTTCTAACTCTATTCCAATAACAATTGTGGGAGATGAACTGTGATCTTTTCTACTAAATCTAACATCAATTATTATTAGACCAATTAACTATCGATTAGTATTCTTGTGTTTGTAGTATCATTAATATTACAACTTGTCAACATTAAATATTAATATTAAATAGGGGTTGTATTGTCTTTTTCATAAAATCATGGTCTCATAGTTATGTTTCCGTCCAATTCAGCAAAGAAACAAATTGTACGTGGATCCATTTAAAACTTTCTTTCCTTTCTCTCTTTTAAAGCAATACCAAACATAGTGATATCATCACAAAAAAAATTATGTATGATGACAGCATCACATGTAAACCCCATTTTGGACAATTTCCATTTTGACTAACATGTGTATTGATGGGACGCATATGCCACATTGAAGTCACATGGCACATGAATTTGTAGAAATTAAAAATGATCCAATAGTATTCGAATAAATGTTTGAGGGAAAAGATTTTGATCGAAAAGATTTGAAGAATATGTTTTATTTTTATAATATTAAAAAATTTCTAATTTAGAAAATTCAAAATTTATATTAAGGAGAGTTCTTAAAGACTTAGATAAAGTATTTTTTTCAAAAAATATTAAAATTTCTCTATTTTTTTAAGAATCATTTTTCAGAACCTTCCTTTCTTCTTCCCTCCAAAGTCGAACAAAATAGTAATGCTACATTCACATAAGTGTTTGAGTGATTGTTATTTTACCTTAGAATAATATTCTACATAAACAAGAATTATAGATGTATGTACAAATCATCAAAAGAAAAATTAAGAAAATTCAAAAGGTATCTAGAACGAATAATACGCTGTAGATGTAATCTCAGAACTATCACCTAAAAAAAATACTATGCGTTTATGACATAAGCTTGCTTATCAAACACTTCTCATTTAATCAAAATATGCTAATTATCCATAGAGAATTTGAAGGGGGAAAATAATATGAATACTCTCTTATCCGATGGTTGAGTACCTACCCATCATCCATTCATGTGCCGACATGTCAATGTTTTATAATAATTTATTTTAAAATAAATTAAAATTTTAAATAATAATTATAACATTTTAGGGTAAGTGAATCTCATTTGCTTACACTATAAAACATATCTCGTTAAATCTCCCTTCTACATCCTACATCTAGCTATCCAGTGAAAATGGAGCCACGTGAGCTATGAATTACATGAGTAGGATCCTCTTCATTTCCCTGAAAGAAATGGAGAGTCGATTACTATAGTTTTGTATGTATAAAATTAAATAAATATTAAATATGTGTCACATGTCATTGAAATATGTGCAATTTACACAAAATTATAATAATTGACCCTCCACTTCATTTTAGGAAATGGAGTGAATCCTTACTCAAAATCCATGTTATGTTCTCTAAAATGGCAATGATGGATCCACAGCAAAAGTAAATAAATAAAACAGTGAAAATTACACAATCCTTCTCCTCTAGGAAGTAAATTATGTATCGGTCTTGGCCGCACAAGCCACCACGTGAGATTTGAATTTCTCCAACTCTGCCAAAACCTCATCCTCTGGTCTATAGAGCAAATCACTCATGCGCCATATCTGCAGCAAATATCAATTTGAATGAATCAACCAAAATAATCAAGTTAAAACAGGGGGAAAACATTCACAACGAAAAATGCTAACAGGTTGTTGAACACATTCCACAGTTTATTCATTTCAAGTTAACATATTAATACAAAACAGTAATCAACTTATGAGAGAAAATGATTTTTTTAATAAAATAAAATAACTACAGTGGGTATGCTAAGTGTGTCACTGAAGGTTTATTCAAAAGTTAAAAGAAAGTGTATTTAGCTATTCAAATTGCTCATGCATACAACCTGGTGTAAAACAAGTTGTAAGATACATGTTTGGATGACTTAGTTGAGTTCTATTAATGTCGCAAAAACGAAGGAGAAGTGGCAAAACATGGATATTTCAATCCGCAAAGCGCATTTCTATTATACAAGCTACTCTCCCCCAAATCTAGCACTACAGCTGCTACACTACAAGTGCATCCAGAGTAGGAACAGATAAAAGTAAAAAACAAAGAATCCATAAACATGACTAAAAATGCCAAGATGTGCTTGGTACCATGAAAACACATGGGAGAGATGAATTGCTAATTGAGTTTATATTGTGTGAATATTAAATAAATGAGTGACCCACAAAATCAACTGTAAAAATTGAAATTGTCAATCACATATGTTTGTCCAAAGAAAATTTCAAGAACTGGCCCAAAAGAACTAATGTGATTGAGTTCTTAATTGTGAAGATCGATTTAAAATTTCATATATTTTACAGACAAAATTGTCCAAATCCCTAGAATTGGTGGTTCATTCTTATATAAATGAGTCAATTTTGGGCACGCAGAGATTTTGAGAAACCCATATAGGTAAATAACCATGTGATGTTTTTCACTCCTATTGCTCATTACTAAACTCAGACAAACAACATATATTTATGTATTATTTTATGTAGTTATTATTTGATGTCTTCTTAAGGTCTTTAACTAGATACCAATCTCCCTAGTTTAATTTTTCCAAGATACCTTCCTTCCAAATTAACACACTGATTGTCCTCTGTTAAAACAAATATTGTGAGGCTACTTCCCCCCACTTACAATCGGGGAACAATTTCCAATGAAATGCAGTGCAACGAAAGATACTCACTGAATCTTCCCTATCCTTTCTTCCAATCCAAGTTAACTGTGACATCATCCAAATTAACATGACTTGCCAGTGGCACTGGAATTTTCATTGACTTGTCAAAGTTGCCTTTTTTTTTTCTTTTACTTGGCTTCTGAAAAGTTCAGCCAGTTCACTCCAGTTAACTTGGGATGCTGTCATACTCAAGCAAGTTGGCTTATAAAAATACCTCGAATTAGAGGGGCATGCATGGTATTCGGGTAGAGATGGCCTTCAGACAAGCTTTGAGGGAGGTAAATGGAATATGTCCTCTCTGCTCGTAGTGAATATCTCTATGTTTTACTTTATTTTATCAATGACCTATATTTTTAAGTTAATATCATATTTACCATGTCTCTCAACTGAGAAGAAAATCTGACATAGTATAATGAGTACATTTTGATTTTAAGATTTGTCACGCCTCTATGTAAAACAAATGTTCCGATAATTCCTTAAGACATTTATCCTGAAACTGCACCAACAAATTTGGCAATCCTGTATATATGTTTGTGCAGTTTCCATAAGCAGGCAACATCAATTCAATTGTATAAAAATTGGTTATTTCTGTATATAGTTAGAATTTGGAAAATCAGTCGACATACCTGCAATGTTCCCCCTCCACCAGTACTTTCACAATCATCAGACACACTTACAATTGTCCATGGATCATATGCATTCCAGTGGAAGTCAACAACTTTGTCTCTGCATATAAATAAATAAAAGTTAGTCTTAAAAAGAAATAGCAGGGCAGGATGGGGGCAGTAAATATTTTGACACACATTCAATAAAGCAAAAACTCAGTTCAACAAATCCAATATTGTTTTCACAAAATGGGATGACACAACGCTGTTAAACAGTCAAATGAAAGCAATTTGAGGATGACACAATGCTATTCAAGAAAACCACTAGGTTGATGTTATCTTGAAGACATCAGTTCTACTGGAATTCGTCAATTGGTATTGCAAGCATGAGACCAGTACATCTTGAATGTACATTTTCTAGCAAGACTATGTTCAGAGTACATCACAAGTATAGATTTTGAGAAGACAACAATTTTGAGCAATTATAGTTGATGCTCGGAACTTCATGTGAAATTGATGTCAAAGTGGGGTGGAGACTCATATGAATATGTTAAAAGATAGAAAATCAAACAAAGAGGCAGAGAAACCCAACAAGTTTAAGAAAGCTTAAGAGCAACATCATATGAGGAACATATAAATAACATCAAGTTAAGAGGCAGAAAATTTTATTTAGTTGGCCTGGCTAAAAAAACAAAATTATTAAGTAAAGAGGAATCCCTTCAGCTACTGATCTAGATGGTTGAAATAATTGACACTAGAGTATAATTAAGTTTACCATAGAGACAGTAGGTTCATACCTATGACCAGCATGTTGGAAAAACAACCCTGGAGGAGAGTTTATTGTTTTTCCAGCTCGCTCTATCTTTTTACCAACCTGATCACAAAACAAAAAAGACGTTGACACCTAGCAACCAAACATCATCATTGGGGCAAGAAAGCAGCAAAATATTATTCAATTGAAACTGCACCTTCTCATAATCCCAAATGTTTAAGAGACCATCTTCTGCTGAACTTCCAAATACAGATGATTTGTCGGGAGACCACTGAATTAAACAAACTGTTACTAACATATGTCGCAGCATAATCATAATATATAATGCCAGAAGGCAGGAGAATTACCAGAATTCAGATAACAAAAAGCATATCTTAAATCACCTGAACACAGAGAACAGCAGCTTTATGAGCCTCAAATTTATGAATAGGAGACCCAACCCCATTAGAGGTGAGATTACGCCGATCAAACAAGCGAACAGAATTATCTGCCGACCTGAAGTGATATGGTGAAAAGTCAAACACAAATGTGAAATTATAGGAACAAAACAGATATTGAAATATTAACAGAAATGAGGAAATGCCCCCCTACAACCAGTAGTTGTTGTAGAAAAATCAACAAATGCAGAGGGAAAAATGGAGAAATAAATGGAACAACCCTGCTTCTTACTAGATGGAAAATTAGAAACAAAATATAAAAGAAAGATAATCCCAAGTTCCAACTATTAGAAAGAAGTCAAGAACCAACTTCTCTGCTCAGCTCAAACAACTCAAACCTACTCTTAATTTTTTGATGCCTATCCAATTCAATTGCGCCCCCTAATAAACTCCCTCTGATTCCTGAATCAATTCCCACCCCCACCCCCTTATGCCGTGTGTCCCATTATGTTATATTGCATCCACTTTAGAGTGGGTTTTTGCAATAGTTCCAATCCACCTAAGATATGCGGGTCTAACAAGATACCTCCCCTCTTGCTCAAAACTATATAAATTAGAACACAAGTTGAACTGAACAAAACAAACAGTGGATGATGATAATTAGGCATATAGAACAGGAGAACATACCCAGTAAGAATCAGATTATCATCATGGGGATTCCAGTCAACACAATGAAGATCGGCATTGTGAGCTTTTTCAACCTGCAGCCAAACTCACATCAGAGAAGGAAAATAATGACAAATAATAAACTAATACAATGACATGTTACGTTATTATGTTACATTATGAAAAAAGAGGGTTGTGTGTGTAAATATCTTAAGATAAATACATATATTCCCAGTTGATAAAACCCCAATGTTGCACACACCTATATCAATGATTTTTTGAATAAACATGAAAATTGTGTTTTACCTAATGCTTCAAAATGTGTAATGGTATCAAAATAAAAACAAATTTAAATAGATCATTGAAGTACAAAGCATATACCTCACCAAAAAGCATGCCTTAAAATACATACTTAAGTCAAAACAACAACAATAACAATCAAAGTCATTTTGCACTAGACACGGTGTCCTAAAAAAATGAAGTCCAATGATATCATAATTAAATTTGAATCTGTTTGAATGGTTAGTGAAACAAAGCAGGGACCCACTTAAGCACGTTATACCTGAACAAGATATTCTTACTTAAAGGTATCTCTTGAACTAAACTTTCCAAATCCTCCCAAAACTTGATATTTTAACACTACTTGTGATACATATATACTAGTAACGCTGAAAGTATCTTGTTTCATTATATATTTTAGGGTTGTTATTCCTAACCTTTTGTAATGCAAAACTATTACATCCATCCAATGCTTATTAGCAACAATGCCTATCCAATTTTAAGATCTTGCCTTTGCATCCTACCCACATAATTTATTGTAAGCATATAAAATTAATCATCCTCCTAAGTTAACTATAGTATTCACTATTACCATTTATTTATCACTAGCAAGTGGTCTTAATTTTCAAGATCCATTGTTGATTTTACACTTAAATTACATTCTTTATCCACACTCGTTCACAACAACATGAGAATTCATTCTCTTTTCTCGCTATACACGGTTTACTTTATCCCTACTCATTCACAACAACGTGAGAACCCATTCTCCTTTTTCGCTACACATGGGTGTCAAGACAACTACTCTTACTTGACATTGTACCCAAGTCATCCAGCATGTTGCCAACAGGCAACGACCTAACAGAACCATTATTGCATCACTAGTATCACTGCCAACAAAATACAACTAAATGTTATGTCGGATGATTGCCAACATCCTAAAACAACCCTCTTATTTTCTGGGCTATCTTATGCATGGCTATTTTATGTTAGATGAAATAACAATATAGGAAACAAATTCAAATACATGATTGAACTATAAATCATATACCTTAACAACAGGACTAGAGCCAACACGTGCATCCCATAATATGAGACAAGAATCATCTCCAACACTACAGAACTCCTGCGCACTTCACCATTAACATATTGATGTCAGAAGGATATGAATCTCATAACGTATAGATCTTGTCTGTGTTGCTATTACAGTGCAATAGTCTAGATTCCTCAAATAGAATATGAAAACATGGAATAACTTTGCTCTGCTCTCCCCTTACAAGATATACTTGAAAAAAGAGTAGCTAACTCATTGATAAAAGACACTAGGAGGAAGAATAGCGGGTCATCAAAATTTCACCCTTAGTTCATAATAAGATAAATAGTAAAATAAGAATAGCTACTTAAATAATAAGGAAAAGCACATAAATATGAAACTACTTAGTAAACAGGTTACCTAGAAGGGCAAAAGGCCACATCTTCAACAGTATCATCGTGCCCAGAGTAGATACCTCTTGGCCCGACAGAAGGGCTATCAACAGTTTTGTCATTGCCTTCCCCAAATTTAGAGTTCGGTTTGATAATGGATCCACCAGACTTGTCTGTGGCGGCAGATGTTACATGGTCTTCAATACTCCACAATACCACTGTTTTATCTTTTCCTGCAATGCAACTCAGATATTTCAGATGCAGAGCAACAAGTAACCAGAACAATGATGACAGGGATTTAAAATCCTAAATAGAAAGAAGAAAAAAAAGTTTGCCAACCTCCTGAAAGGACATACGGCTCAGTTGGGCACATTGCAAGAGCAAACTCAGCATTGTCTTGGTGTCCGGTCAATATCTGCACAAAAAAAAACTGTGAATATACCAAGAAGTATCAACCTCGACAAATAACCAAAAATAACCTTAGAATAAAATTTTTGCTAAATAGGATAATTAAGGGGAACCAAAGATGGAGTCCACATAATTCAAATTGTGGAGGGATCCGCCCCAATTTCAAAGATTCTGCACCCTTTAACCCTTTTCTAGCCCCAAAGATGCTATACCCAACTCTTCAGTTCAACAGACTCACCCTCAAGTAACTGAAAAGTCTATTCAATAAATCAATATACCGAAACTGCAGCATAATCTGACCTATTCACACTTCATAAATCCTAGTTTTTAGGGAAACAAGCATATTTCTCATAAACAAAAGGAACATACATCTGCTTCATTATGTGATTTTGATTGTGTTACAAACTAGTCTGTACTTTTCTAGATGGACGAATGTTGTGGATAATTAGGGCACACAGCCCAATCAAATAGGCATACCAAATCTGGACGAGAGTTTGTAGCTCCAAGGACAGCATGACGGTTAGGTTGACTTTCAACGTCCCAAATGAGAACCTGGTATTTGTAGAGACACAAATAAGGAACAAAATAGTCAGGAAACATGCCAGTTCTGAAGAATAAAAACAAAACAAGGAAAACTGTAAAGTTCTTACATCAGGGCTGTCTGTGTGAGTAGCCACAATCTTAGAATTTTGCGGCAATTCCCTAATTCTGTTCACCTACAACTCAAAATATAAAGATCAGATTAGCAAACAACAATACTCAGATCACCAGCATAAAGATGTTTAATTCAAGCAAAAGTATAAACCATTGTTATAATAGCAGGTCACGTAGCGGGTAAATAGTGGAAGCTACATCACAGTTGAAATATAAATAATTGTATATAAAGTAAAGCATGTTGCACACAAATAAAAGCTGCTTAAACATAAATTAAAAGTAACAAACATAAAACTCAAAATCTCAATATTTCAAACTAATAAAACATGATGTATAGTTAGATAAATTGCGGCGTGAAGGAGATGAAGGAACGAAGTGAAGAACAGGGTGGTTACTTGATGATGGAGGCGGAGTGGTGAGTTGTCTTTACCTGGGTAAAGCTAGTGAGTTTTTATTGCTTTTGGTATTATAGAATACCCACTAACCGACTCGGTGGTTCAGGTTCTGTTATGTTTTCCATAATGTTTTAAAAAGTATGGCCACCACTAAAAAGTTTGGTTATTCATAACGTGCCGCTATAACCAATATTTTAAAGGGCACGCCACTATACTGCAAATTGTTGAGTTGACATATAATATCTCACGCAGCACTATACTGCAAACAGAAGAGCTAATATATCGTAGCGGCTACCCTAAATTCCGATACATAATAGCGGCATAGCACCGCTTTACTGGTTTTTTAACAACGCCGATATAAACCATTTAAAGGCATATATACATGAACAAAAACCTCTCTTTAGTTTCAAAAACAAATCCAGGGCAGATTAATAAAGAAAGATATTATTCATTCATCTCTAAGAATGTCAAAGTGATATTTATACCTCGCCCGGATGTATGATGGTCTTGTACTTCTTCACAAATGGAGAGCGAGCCTCTTCATTAAACTGAAGAAAAAAAAATTAGTTCATTAACTGGATTTTAAATTACGTAGGCAACAAATTGAAGGGGGTGTCCTGTGTACTACACGTGTTTGGTGTCGGTGAACAACACTGACAGATGTGGTATCATCCCATCATTCAATTTTCTCAAATTATTTCTGGTGTAGATATGCCAATGTCATTTTCGTGTTCGCCTCACTGCTTCTTAGATTTTAAACAATAAACTGAAACTACTAAAAGGTAAGAGACAACAAGTTCACGTGACAATTAACAAATCACCTGGGAAATATGCTCTGCAGCTGCAACCCTAGTTTTCACAACCTCACAATTCGCAATCACCAACGTATTCGGAACACTTCCATCAGTCTAACAAAAAAGAAAATCAAAAATCAAAAATCAAAAGCAAAATAATTTCAACAAATACACATTAACCTAAAAAACAATTTCAACAATCAATAAAGAAATTCAACATCAAACCTGCTCCGAAAGATAAAGCCGCTGTCGATTCTTATAAGTAGCTTGTTCAAGCTGAGGACCCCACCTATAACAAAATCACAACATTCCTCATTAAATTAAACCTAAGATCACAAAAACCCTAGAAAATGGAGAAACAAAAATCCAAAACCCTAGAAATAGAGAAAAACAGATACCGGCAAGAGAGAGAAGGCCAAACGAGGTTATGATTCGCGAGCCAATCGTAGAGAACGGGAACGAGAGACTTCCATTGAGTGTATTTCTCGTCTACGGTAGCTTGGTGTTGTTGTTGCTGCTGCTGCTGTTGTTGCTGTTGTTGCTGCTGTTGCTGTTGCGCTTTTTTCGCTTCTTTCAGTGCTTTGGCAGGTGTTAGTTGGTGTTGATCGTCTTTTGGTTTGGGTTTTCGACCGCGTGTTTCCTTCTTCTTTACTACGCCTTGCTGCGACGGAGGAGTTTCCATTGTTCGAACTCACTCTTCTGCTACTCTTTACACACACTCTCTCTAGTTCTAATAATAAATCACATATGAATTGTGCTTACTCTTGGCTTTATTAAACAAAATAATAATAATAATAATGTGTCATTTAATTTAATATATAATATTATAAAGATTTAAACATTTAATTGATTAATAAAAAAAGTTAGGTAGTATTTTTTTTGTTTGGTTTCAATTTTTGTATATTTTTAAATTTTTTTAGTTCTTCTAATTTTTGTTCAAATTGAAATTGATTTTATAATATATAAAATCATTAATTTTAGTTTATTCAATATTGATAATATAATTTTCAAATTAAATATTTTGAATATTAAAAAGATTAATTTAATATAAATTAATTTTATAATAATTAAAATAATAATAATAATAAATATTTACAAAGACGAGATTAAACAAAAAATTATAAAAATTAAAATAAAAAATAATATATGTGCAAAAACAATTTTTTTTTAAATTATTGATTTATAAAGTATTAAAGTATCACAAGCTTATTTATATTGGTGTATTATGAAAAAATATAAAGAAATTTTGTTGCTAAAGAGTTTGACCTAGATTCACTGCTTACATTCATTTAACTTAACTATTTTAAAAAATATATATTAATTTATAAATATTAATAATTTATTTATATTAAAATAATTTATTTACATTAGTACATTAAACTATTATAAATATATAAGTTAAGCGAATTACAAAAATTCAGTTAACAAAGGGCATAAAAAATTGGTCATCCTTTTTAGTAAAAAACAAGTGATATAATTTAAAGATTGATTTATTAATAAGATATATGATTTAGAGATTAATTTTTTAGTAAGCGGACTAATATGGATTACCACCATACCATGTGGATTCTCTTACATTTCTATCATATATATGATATGTTTAACTCTTAACTCAGCTCTCTCGTTCAATGCATTGGGTTAAGTTTGTCTTGTAGTGCGTATAATGCAACTTGATCATTCAAGTTATTTTAAGTTTCTTCTTAGTTAACTACACAAAGCTCTTCCACGAATTTGTGGTTCTCTTATTGGTACTTTTTGACAAGCCATGTGTATAGCATGGGTGAGTGGCGTAAAATATGTGTGCTCAACTCCACGCTCCCACACGAATAAGTGATGTAGGTTGTGTGTGCTCAACTCCACGCTCATGTACAAACGAGTTGCATAGATTTTAGAGGTGAAATATAAAGGCCTTTGACATCCAAAGAGAGACTCATTATGTCAAGACATTGATAACTATAAAAGAAAATATTTGGGAGGAAAATAAGATGTTTCATTGCTGGAAGGAACACTATGAAAATCCATTTATCTTAAAGTTTAAATAAGTATTTCATAACATACTTACAATGTCTTTAACTAGTTGAGCATATACCTTTCATGAACTCATGTACACAAATTCAAGATTTTATTTATTTTTATTTTTTGTAACACTCAGGTATTGAATATTTTTCTCATTTGTCCTCTCTTTCCTATAACGAGAATTATTATATTATTATATGAGAGTAACAATATAATACAACCTTCTACTCATGTGGAGTATATATAGATGTAGAACCATTGTGTTAGGAATGTGAGGCAGTCAGATGAGACAATTGGTTACAACCTCGTTGAATTAAGGATATTTGGCAGTTATGCTAATAATTCTGATTTTATTAGTGATAGTGACCTTATTTTTTCCTATTATTGCTTATGGCAAACAAGGTCGTTGATGGCGTATAGCTCTTTAAAACACTTGGGAGTTAAAGATTATGTGTCTCTTTATACAACTAAAAAAGCATGTAATTTCGTTTCGTAAAAGACTAAGTTTGGTTCATTTAATGAAAAAAACGTCATCATGGAACCTTACTTTGAAGATGATATAATTAACGTGGTGCCTCCTATCGACTCTGAGAGAGAAAACTTCTTATATGTGCATCTTCATGTCATATGTGACTTGGGGGTGCTGATCCTTTTTTACCGTTTTTGAGTTTGAGGTCCTTAAGACCATCGACGACGTCTCATCTTAGATATTTCTCAATGGATAGGTCTTTATTGAAGGTTGAGAAAAACACAAGAAAGGGGTGAATTGTGTTTTAAAACATTTTCAATTAGAAGTGCTCAACACAAACAATTAGAATTAGAATTAGTGGTTAGGAAGAGAAATAATAACGCAAACGGTTTATCCATGTCCACCGCCAAGGTGATTTCGCCTTAGAAAATAACTTAATCCACTATAACCAAACTGATTACAATTGCATGGGCTAACCGCCGGTGACTAATAACAACAGTGATAACTTGTTAGTGATCCCTTAAGAATTCTGACCTACCAGATCCCCTAAGAGATATAACGACAACTGACTCTTTAAGGCTTCTGACCTACCCGGTCCCTTGAAGGAGATTTCTCAATGCCTTAGAAAATGACTTGATCAACTACTCGTTGAACGATGTGTATACAAGTTTACTTCTGATAAGTTGATTACATAAATGTTTAAGTCCTGGTTGTTTAACACAAATATGAGCAACAACTCTTGTGTTTAAATAATTTACAAAAGTAACACAAATACGAGCAACAACTCTTGTGTTCTAACAAATGATAATAAAAACACAATTATGAGCAACAACTCTTGTATTCTTAATCAAATAATAAACTCAACACAGTAATGAGCAATAACTCATGTGTTCTAGCAAGTAATAATATTAACACAAATATGAGCAACAACTCTTGTGTTTTGATCTTCTTCTTTTTCTAGCTTTGATATTTTTCTTGTTTTGATTTTTGTAGCGTTACTGTTCTTGTTCCCTATTTGTCCAAGTTTGTAAATGAACATTTGATCCTTTATATGGGTGTTAATAAATTAGATCATTGTAGTAGTATACATGTCACTTTCATTATCAGTTGCCATAACGATAATAAATGATTGTGGGAGAAAAATAGTACACAGTACATCCATTTGATTGGAATGTGTAATTGTACTTTTGTACTCACTCTTATAGTGCTTGTTTCTGATGATATTGTCTTCTGATGAATATTCCTTCTGATGAAGTAATTCGTTTGAGAAGATATCATCTTGATCTTGGTCTTCTGATTGACTATATGATGTAGAATAGTAATGAGTCTAGAAGATCTAATTTTCCATTATTTGTCTCTTGATGGAATGCTTTCTGATGTGAAGTGATGTGCGCATATTCCACGAAGTATCTGAGTCTTCAGAATCTTGAATTTGTCTTCATAATTAAAACAACAGCTCTTATGTTGAACAAATCTTGACTTATGATCTGGAGGTGAAAGATTTTTTTATGTGTTCAGAATCTTGACTTTGTCTTCAGAATTAGAACAACAACTCTTCTGACGAACAAATATTGACTTCTGGTCTTTGACGCAAGAGCTTGTTTTTGGTGCAATCTTATTTTAGAATATTTGAGCAACATCTCTAACATAAATTCTTTCTTCATGTGTAATCTTGTTTTCTAATTTTGAGTAGAAGCTCTAACAAAAATTCTTTCTTTTGAATACTTGTGACTTCTAAACCAGCAGCTTATTTGGAAGTACACATTGAGATCCTCTTTTTGTCAAACATTCAGTATTCTTCATAATCTTGATATTTCTTCAGAGTGGATGCGCTAGCCTTTCTGATGCGTGCTTTCTGGTGATTCTTTAGACAACAGTCCTGAATCAAATTAGAACTATAATCTTCACACTTAAGAAACTATTAGAAACAAAATTGTTTACATATAAAATAGATGTATTGTTATCATCAAAATCCAGAGTTTAATTGTATAATCTAAGTCTTGTTATAACAATCTCCCCATGAATCTAAAACTTAAGACCTTGTCAGAAAATGGGGTTTTTTTAGCTTGATTAGCATTTCCCAGAATTTTGACTTAAGCGTGTGGGAACGATCTATCAGAGTTTGCTTTTGTCAGAATTTCTTTCTCATCTTGTACCTGGAACACATTCTAAAAAGTCTTGCATATATATTTTCATTAGAAATGTAAGCAATGAGATTTAGAGAATTAGGTATACATCAAAATCATCATTATGTTTTCTCCCCCTTTTTTTCATTATCAAAAAAGATATTTCATTGATTTAGAAAATAGAGAGTACAGGAGAAAAACAAGACAAGATAGAATAACAAATCATGGTTTCCTAGGAGTGCATAAGGGTTAGAAGACGAGAACTTCTAAAGAATCTATTGGAGTATATCTGAAATGCTTATGTTGAAAGCTTCTTGTTTATCAAGTATTTCATTTACTTGTTACTTCTTCAATTCTTCAAGAGTTTGTAGAACAACAGAAGTTTCTGGAGCTTTGGAGTTGTCTGCAACAACTTTCTCATTAGATGCTTTTCTGGCAGCTTCTTCTTCAGCTTTTTTCTTAGCAGCTTCTTCTGCCTTTTTCTTAGCCTCTTCTTCTTCACTTATTTTCCTAGCAGCTTCCTCTTCTGCCTTTTTTCTTGGCTTCTAAAGCCAGATGTCTCTCTTCAGCTTCTTTGACAATTTTTCTTGTAATTGTCTAACAAGGTTTCTAATTGTGATAAACTCTTCAGCCATCCACTTTTTAAATGGTCCCCCGATAAAATTCATGTGAGAAGAATCAGTGCTTGGACTATATTTTTCTTTGAGTTCATTGTTTCTCCTTATTGCATCTTCCTTGAAGATACCAATTACTTCTTCTAAGTTCAAATTCGAAGAAGGAAGATCAGAAGATTCAGAATTTGTTTCCTTTTCAAAGAAAGTTTCATTAGAAACTGTGTCATCATAGTTATTTGATCCATGGGTTTCATCAATGAAGTTGTCGTCATTTGGATCAGAAGGTGTTGGTGATGGTGAAGTGTTTGAGGTGATAAGGATTTCATAAGAGACTGGATGAGAGATAAGGATAGGTTCTGATATAGAAGCATCCGAAATTTGTGGAGTTGTAAGAATGTTTTGTGGAATTTATGTGGTGTTTATGAATTTTGATGGTGAGACGGTGAAAGAGAAATCT